TTAGGATAATATTGGAGAAGACCACTCCAGTTGATTTCCTGGAAGCATTATGGTAATAGCACTTTGTCCCCACCTTATTTCCTGTACAGGGTATTTGTCTAGAATCTACTTACCTGGCTAGCCTGTGAGGAATGGGCAGCAGCGTAGGAGCTGCAGGAAGTGGGCTAACCAGAAAGGGACATGAATTGCACCTGAAGTGGGAAGGTAGGAACAACGGAATGCTGCCAAAGGCAAAAATAGTGCTCTGTCTGGTTTGTATCATTCATGGATCACGAGCCAGGCTGATGTGAAGAACCCACCGTAGACTGGATGGCTTAGGAGTGCTGGGTCCAACAGACCAGTGATACAAGCCACCTAAAAGCACCCTCCACTCACCAGCCTTCCCCTCTTCCATTAGCCTGTGCTGCCTAGCTGGCTGAGCAGAGTTCAGTGGAATCACTAGGAGATGCCTCTTCCCTAGTGAGGAGAAATGTCTGATGAGAAACAGCTTAGTATGGACTGTTGGGTATGTTCCGCATCTGTAAAACAAGGAAGCATGGCACGAAGACAGAGTGCGAGAAGGCATGACATGAGATATTCGGACAAGACAGCATCGTCCTCCACATATTCTCTCACCTTGGCTTCCTAGGTACCCAAGTTAACTGCTGAAAGTCCCCCAGATTCTCAAGGCTTTCTGAACTGAGCAAAGTGACAGGTGACGGTCAAAACATCACATTAACTCTTTCATAGTGAAGTCATGCTGGTGGCTGATGCCTTGCCTGGCCAGGTCCACAGCAGCTTTTCCTAAGAGGCTGGGCCCGAGGTCCCAGCGCAAGAAGTTGAGTGTATAAACAGCTCAGCCCCGAGTCATCTGGGGGACTCTAAAGTGCTTTTGTGTGTGTGCCAAAGTCTCTCCCTTCCTCTTGCTTTCTGAACTCTGTCTTGGTTGGCAAAACCCTTCCCATTTCTGTTAGGTAAAACAGATGAAAGCAGAGATCATGCTTATCCAAGAGCTTAACTGAAACCTTATAGCGCTCTCTCTCCCTGGTTGCCCTCCTCCTGCACAACGTTCTATCAGTGGACTTCCAAGGAAGCTTTCATTTAGCAGCTGTTTGCTCCTCTTTTACACGATGGTTCTCCGTGTTCAACAAGAACAAAGATCACTGATATTCCCGTCGGGTCCATCAGAGGCAACTGAGAACAATGGCTCTTTTTATGTGGAAAAGAGACTTAAAATTTATTCATAATCGTTATTTTTTCTCTCAACACATTCTCCTCCCCACGGGCCCCTTTCTCTAATTAGCTATGCAAGCCTCGACACTAAAACCTGGCTACATATTAATCTCCCGTTTTTATTAGTATGGTGTCTTGATCTTCACTGTGCAAACACAGCATATGCTTGTATTTAAATACATTTTATTTCTGAAAAAGATCCTGTAAAACTGGAACTCCTGAAAACAGGTCTGACAGCATAGAGGAAAATGCGCACTGGATATGCCACCAAATCACTTGGCCACCCCTGAAACTGAGTAGCTATAATAGTTCCAGTCACATGAGACCTAGAATTTCCCATTTAGTTCCTATAATGTGTCAGGCATCATGCTATGGATTTAGCATCCACTTATTGTCTCCTTTTAACTGTCCTAACACTGTGAGCTGTATGTTACCTTCATCCTACAGATTTAGAAAGAATACCCAGAATCCAGTTTCTGTGGCCCTAAAACCAGACCTGTCTAAATGAGACTGTCCTTCTGGCTATAAACACGTAGAAGGGGCACCAAAGATGGCATCATGGGAATGCTGCATTTAAAATGTAAAAAAATCCCATAATGAAGTAACTTTCTGTGCAATCCTCTTTTCAATCTTTTGATAGTATCAAAGCACAACTTGGTTCTGTATTGCTTGTTTTTGTGCGTGTGTGTGCACATGCATCTGGGGGTACTTGTCTGTGCACGTTTATTTGGAGCCAGAAGACATCCTATATCTTCTTCTATTGTACTTTATGAGGCATGGTCTGTCACTGAACCTGAGGATTGCCCTAGACTGGCGGGCCAGCAAGCTCCCAACCCTGGTCCTGCCCCATCTCCACCCTTTAGCAATGGGATTACAGGTGTGTATCATCAACCTGGCTTTCCCATGAGTGCTAGGGATCTGAGCTGTGAATCTCTACTTTTCAAAATGTCCTATCATCTCTTCAGAAACAAGTTAGTTACCACTGCTGCTCTTATTTTTCCTGGAGATAAATCAGATCTTTTGGTTAACAAATGCAGATTAGAATTAAAGAAATCTGAAAATGGCCCATTCCAGTCATATAGCTGTTTCTTGCTGAATGGTATGACACTCAAGTAGGCGTTACTTTAGACTAGTTTGACTGGGTATTTGTATTAAGTCAGATTAATTTAAATATTAAATTTTATGTATTTGTATTACTAGGATACCCCAATGTATCATGTTCAGCAAATTCAAGTGTAAGCTATAACTGTGGCAATAAAAGGCCATTTGCTGGTGGTGGAGTGGGAAGGCAGGCCTCTAAAATATTTAACAGGTGAAAAGTTTTCCAGTATTACTTTCTGAAAGTATAATTACTAGAAAAACCTCTGTAAAGGCTTTCTGATGTAACTCTGCATAGTACACCTGATACACTGCTTTTGGTGGTTATACATGATAACGTGGACTGCTTTCAACACCTGCATTTCTATACTTCCATTTACAAGATACCTCAATACCCACTCTGTTCTAATGGCCATTGTCTTTTAACAGAGTGAGGCTGCCACTTGAGGCTGTGAATTGCACAATTAGTTTTTATTTGTTATTAGAGGTCAATTCACACCTACACTTCCAGCACACAAATGTTTCAGGCTGTTCCTCCCTTGTTCTTTCCATCACTCCCTTTTTTTGAGGTCGGGCAGTGATGGAACCTAGTGCCTGACACAGAAGTTCCCAATGCCCCCTTCTAAAATTTGGGAAAGGACCTTGCTAAAGTGCCCAGGCAGGCTGGAACTTGCCATCCTCCTGCTTCAGTCTCCCAAGTGGCAGGATACAGGCACAGCTTGTCTCTTTATCTTAATTAAAAGACAGTAGTTGTGATCTTCTGAGATGCTACAGAAATGCATGAGCCCATCATCATCCATAGCAGGCTCATTATGGCAGCCTAAGAGAGGTAAGCATCTCTGTTATGGTGACCGTCTCCTTCCAGATCATTAACTACAGCTATGGACACCTGATCCCCAGTGAGTGCACTAAGGTCTGTGGGCGCTCCAGCCAGCTTATCTGGCTTCCCATTTTGGCTCTTCTGTATTTTAAGCTACACCTCGTCTCTTGAGTTATCTGGCACAGGCTGAAGGGGCTACCACTTGCAGTTGCTGGAAGGCTAAAAATTAAACAACTAGATGTGTTGTAACACAAGGCTTTGCCTTGTAAGTAGCAATTTCTCTGTACATTAGTTAAAAAATTCCAACCATATGGTGGATGGATGCAGTTTTAGATGCCCAGTTTTTTTTTTTTTTTTTTTTTTTTTTTTTTGGTTTTTCGAGACAGGGTTTCTCTGTGTAGCTTTGCGCCTTTCCTGGGACTCACTTGGTAGCCCAGGCTGGCCTCAAACTCACAGAGATCCGCCTGGCTCTGCCTCCCGAGTGCTGGGATTAAAGGCGTGCGCCACCACCGCCCGGCCTAGATGCCCAGTTTATCTATTCAGTCTCACATGTATTTACTGAGCATTTACTGTGTGTCAGGCATTGATCAAAATATGAGAGCTACATCAGTGAACAGAATCAAGAAAACCCCTGCCCTCATATGACTTTTTCAGACAGAAGTGGGCGGGAATTAGGTCACTGAACTCTGTACTTGGAAATGGCCATAAATGCCGTACAATGGCAAAGACACAGCTGAGGGCTCTCTGGAGGGTCAGCAAGGATGAAGCTTGATACGTATGCTTTGCTTAAAAGAAAATAAAAAAAAAAAAATTAAAGGGCATTTGACTTCCATTGGTTTCCTACATTTAAAAACCCAGTCAATTAGTGCATTTCTCCCTAACTCTCCACTAAACTCCCTGTCTTTCTGTAATGTTTCTGGGATCTACCCTGATTTGACCACTCAGGATGATGTTGCTATCTTAACACCCTGGTCTCTAGTCTCTCCTTACTTTATATCCTTCCATTTGTGGTATGTGTGCCTCAGAGTGCACACAGCAAGAGGCTGCACAAAGACGTGCACACCATGTTCACAGCATCACTCACAACAGCCCCAGTGCCCGGTGAATGAACAAGGAAAACACAGCATAGACATCAGTTACAATGGATATTGAGACTTAATGGGCAGCTATTATGTGATTCAACTTATAGGAAATGCCTAGAACTAAGTTCATGGACAGAATGCAGAAAATGGTTTGGCAGGGTTAGTGGAAGGGATGGGGGATCACTAATTAGCATGTCGTTTCAGTCTGAGAGGATGACAAAGTTCTAAAGATGGTGAGAGTTACAAAACAATGGCAGGTTCTTCATGTCACTAAGCTGCTCAATTTTAATCACTAAACCCCATAAATTTTACGTTACCTTTCACTACACTAAAGAATGGCCAATGAGACAAGAAATCACGTTAATTATATGTTTGAAACGTATTTGATTCAGTTATTGGGAAATGTTCACATATATTTGGACAACGTACAAATAATTTTTATAACAATCTCCACATAAAGATTATCTTATTTGAAGCATAGGAAAAAACATAATATTACATTTATTTGAATTGTCAACTTAGTTTTAAAACCAAGCCAATACTAATATGATTATCTCCTCTCACTATCAGGAAAAATTAATTCCACTCCAACCCAAAGCTTAATTTAATATGTAATTATAAAATGTAAATATATATAACCTATCTTAAAATTTTTATACAAAGTAAATGTCTTAATATTTATTGACTACCTTCAGAAACAGAACTGGACTCACAAAAGCATATGTTATATCAAAAGGACATGCCAATAAAACCGAAATCATTTTTGTCACCGACAACATGCAAGATACTGCCATTGTATCATTGGTTTCTTTATTTCTTATGAGCTCATTAAAAATACGCTTACATTTAAAAACGAAACACAATATAGTTCCCTATAAACATGAGACACAATATGTTCTCTATAAATATAATCCTTTCTCAATATATTTTCCTACTTTGTTTCACATATAAATAACCTAATCTACAAAACCATAAATAAAACTATCAACTCTATGGTCTAGAAGTAAATACAAGTTGTGGAGTCTGAGAAAGTATTTTTTGATTTTATAAATAACATGCAATATGTGCATCAGCAATCATACAATTCTTACAAGTTCTTACTATCTCCCAACTTGGGAGAGTTGCCTATAGTAGACCTTTCAATTTACTTAGTAAAGATGTCATGCATTTAAAAAGTCAAAATAGCCACAAGTCCACATTTTGTCTGTGGAGATTGGGTCTCACTATGCTGCCTATACAGCCTGAGGTGGCCTGCGGTGAACAATTCCTCTGCCCCAGTTTTCTGGTTGCAGAGAATACACGTCAATGGTTGAGATGAGTTTAAGGGCAGGCAGCAGAGAGGGTAGCTGCTTAATTACTAAATCTCTTAGAAACCACTTCCATTTGTCTGAACTACAAAAAAGGCTACAGAAAAATGAATGCTTGTACATCATGTAAATGTCAGAGAAAATTTAAGAAGCAAAAATTCAGATTAAATCTATATTAAGACTGTGAAAATATTCCACTGAGATTCTGTTACAGGAACAGAACTAATGCCATCATACATTTTTTAAATTTATTTTTGAACCATCATTTTCATGAGTTTAAGCTTTAATGGTAAAAATAATGACACACAATTTTTTTCTGCAAAGTCACACTTAAAATTACTAGTACACATTTCATTAGTTTTTTTAACAAGTGGAACTCCTACTTCAGAAAATATTATGAATCAATTTGTTGAAATACACCACCTATGTACTGATTAAACAGCCACTCAGGATTAAAGAGTTAGCATTCCTATTATTTTTAGGCAATAAAATTAAAAAGGAACTTTGCGTGTTTGCTGTTTTCACTTTATACATTATTATATAGGCCTTTATTTGGGTATAAAAGTTAGAAAGAAAAGCATTCTCAGCTACTCTCATTAGGTTTAAATGGTTCAAAACTACAAATAATGCTAAGCCAAGTCCTGGCATTATTTTTAAAATCTTAAGTTTCTAAAAGTTCTAAGTTTTAGTCAATACTTTTAACTGCCAAAAGACTACTTAAAAAACTAAATATTTTGTTAAAGATATGATTAGAAGATATGCCTTTGATTCTTTTCTAAAAAACAAGATGTGAAACACAAAAAAAGGCAAAATTCACAAATGGCTGTTGAAATCCCATCAACTTTCAGCCTAGTGGAACACATAGTCAGTTATTATGCATAAACAATTCAAAATTAAGGTTTCTAATGGAAATGTCAACAAGTCATAACTACTATTCATCCCCTCTGATGTGTTCCACTAACTTCAACCAGGCGCAACAGCTGTGTACATCTGAGAGATACTGTTTAGAAATTACAGCTAGCAGAGCTATAAATAAGGAATACATAAATAAGAGCACAGCAATGCCATGGAATTGGGGCCATTAACAAGATGGCTGTGATGTAAACATGCCTGCTAGGTTTCCCTTAAACCACTTCCCACTGACTCACACAGCCATGGTTTTAAAACTCTTTTAAAAAGAAAACATTTTCTACGCAGCAAGCAGTAATATCATTGTACATCTCGACTACAATGCAATCTTCAAATTTTCTTTCAGAGCTTGGCATATGTGTTCAGGACTTTCCCGGAAGTCAGCTTGTATTTTCAGCAGCCTAGAACAAGAGAGCAAGACTTGTGATTTCAGAAGCATGCTGAAGACACACGGTGGAGGTAAATCTGTCAGTTTTCAACTATATTGAACAAACAGCTAGCTATTCTCCATATAACTGAATTACTCTTATTGGGAAAACACTGGGATTTTTATTTCTGTTCTATCAACAAGATTATCTTTGGGGGGGGGGCGTGGGGGGCGGCGGCACGCCTTTAATCCCAGCACTCAGGAGGCGGAAGTAGGCGGTCTCTGTGAGTTCGAGGCCAGCCTGGTCTACAGAGCGAGAGTCAGGACAGCCAGGACTGTTATAAAGAGAAAACTTGTGTCAGAAAACCAAAAGAAAATCTTTTAAATTTACTGCTAGACTACAAACAGAAAAAGAGCATGTAAAAACGTACTACTTAAGAGTTAACATATAATCTTCTTTTCCAAAGTCTTCGTTTGTTTGTTTTATTGTAGCACAAAGACGGAATTAAAAATGAGGAAGACTCATTAAGCTACAAAGAAGGCAGAACACCAGCAATAGAACAGTGAACATGTTTTTAACCTCTCTCTCTTCTTCATTTTTTTTGCTAAAAGGCATTACTTGTGGTATTATTTACTTAAAAAAATAAAAATCATTTTTATTGTAAAAAAAAAAAAAAAAAATCACACTTGAACTCCTAGTCCCAAACTCCATACATCTCAATGATACAGTTAGAATGTCCTTTCATTTAGGGTTTTATACATCACTACCAATTACATTTTTATGTACTTATATACGCGCACACATGCACGCACAGACAGATGGGGGATGGGGAGAATAGCATGACAGTTAAAATTAGAAAAACAATTAGTTTTTCATCTTTCATGATTCATCTAACTCTGCCTGCATTTTTGTCCTTCCTCACCACCTAGTGTTACCCTTTCTTGGTCTCCTTTCTAAAGTATACAGTACCCCTTACAGCTGTTATACATGTACGTATTATAAGCTAGGCTCTGCATATGAGGGAGGATGCTCAGGTTTTTCTTTCTAGGAGTGGGTAACCTCACCTCCCAGGTGTGTCTGATCATTCACAAAACCCGATCTGATATGTATTTCTAGAAGGAACCGAACAGTTAAGCATCTACCAGTAACCCAACACTTGGGAGGCTGAGCCAGAAAGAGCTGGAGCTGAAGGTCAGCTTGAGCTCCATGGGGAGGAAAAAACAAGCAAAGACTTAATATCATTTCTTAATGCCAATATGAAAATGATGGACTTGGTTTGTTTGCTTTTCGAGACAGGGTTTCTCTGTGTAGTCCTGGCTATCCTGAACTCACTCTATAGCCCAAGCTAGCCTTGAACTCAGAGATCCGCCTGCCTCTGCCTTGAACGCTGAGATTAAAGGCGTACACCACCACCACCCAGGCCTGAAAATGATGACTTTAATCTTAGAAAAATACATGATATACTTCTATTTGTACTTACTAATTAAAATTTCCTTTTTTGCTATTTCACGAAAATATGGTAAAATGTTGGCAAAAATATAAATAATGCAATAATACAAAAGTTCTTTTTCCTTACAGGCAAAAGAACAGACCTTGTTTTCCTCAGAATGACCAGTGCACAAATATAGTGTGAGCTAGCTTTCCTCTCCTCAGGACTTAGCACACAAAAGAGTTAGAACAGAGTTCAAAATGTTTGGCCGGGTGTGGTGGCACTCTGGAAAGCAGAGGCAGGATGATGTCCATGAGTTCGGGGCCAGCCACAGATACAAAATGAGACTGTCTCAAAAAAAGGGAACATTAAAAAAGCTGGCTTCCATAGTCTTTGTCAGACAGTGCAAGTGAAAAGTGCAGCCAGCTACTTCACTCTCGGTAGCTGGGCTTCGTTACTAGGAGCTTCGGTCTCCTTGGCAGCAGGTCTCCAACAGCAGGAGCAGTGCCTGTCCTACATGACTGGAGGAAGTCATGCCAGTGTAGCCGGAGCCTCCGGTCTACTCTACACAAGGCAAGTATTCACATAACTATCACCTACTCCTACTTTCCAGTTCCTTTCATCCTGCTGTGAAAGCTAAAGCTGAGGTTTTAAAAAGATGACAAAGAAGGTAAATGAACTGAAAAGAAGCTGGGCAAAACCCTGTGCAATGCACTCAGAAGTGCAAATAAAAAAAGAGGACCTATACGCGTCCCACCACGAGAAATGGCTGGAACTGAGGCTCCCAGGAACTAACACTGACAACCGTGAAGCAAGGGAAACTCACATGCTGTGGTAAAACAGAAATGAAGACAGCTACTCTGGGAAAGCTTGGCGCTGTACTCATCTAGGAAGTTGATAACACACACACCCTACAGCCCAGTCACTTTGCGTCTAGGTCTAGATCCAAACCAACTGCACATATGGAAGCAGGAGGAGACGTGGGCTACAATGCTCAGAGGAGCATTTTTACAAGTCTTACATTGAAAACAACTAAATAGGGTAAATGTAATATATTTGTAGAAGAAAACTTATTTGAAGAAAAGAAACACATTACAGTGACATTCATCATAAGTGAACATCACAGACACGACAGTAAATGAAAGAACCCAGTAGAAACAGTCTAAGACTCCACTGAAATGAAGCTTAAAACCTTGACCAAGTCATAGTAGCCTTTTCTAGTTCAGTTAGTGAGACTGGTGGATGTCTACTATAGAACTCAGGAGACTGGAGGGGAAAGCGGGAGGAAGAGAAGAGTGACTGTGGAGGGAACCGGTTTTTCTGAGGTGCTGGTAGAGATCATCATATGGGTATTTAACACCTGGTGTATGGTCAACACCAGGTGTCTTCCACAATCACTTTGCACCTTAGCTTTTGAGAGCAGGTCTTTCAGTGAACCTGAAGTTGATTGATTTGTCCACAACTGGGCAGCAAACCCCGGGAACCTCCATCTCCCTAGCTCTAGGAATACAGCATGCATTCCTGAACCCAGGGCGATCAAATTCCTGTTTGTGCATGTGCGTGGGAAGCACTTCACTGAGGTGCCATCTTCCCAGCCCTCTTAGTATTTACAATCAGCATCTACCCTGTAAATATGTTCACCTTTCTGTGTTAGGTTTCAAAATCAAAGAGTAATAAAATAAAAAACGCTGGGTTGCTTTGAAAAACAACAATCTGGAAAACAAGCAACTTGCATTGCATACTTTATACAGTACTATCATCTCAGAAAAAAAAAAAAAGAAGCCATGTTGCTGTTGGACAAGTTTAACTGTAATCACCTGAAGTTTCAATATTCATGGTTAGTGGGATGCCTGACTATCACACAGCCTTCTCTCCTGCTGTCTTCACACGGGTTGTTTCTGTTTATTTGTATTCAACTATCTAATAAGGACACCAACTGCTGGATTAGAAGCCACCTTAATTCAGGATGAACTCATTGTAATCTGTGACACACACACAGATACTATTTTCAAATATAGTTAGATTTATTAGTATGAAGGATTAGGACGAAGTTTTTGGCAGGAGACACAATTCTACCCAACTCAGAAAAATTCTAAAAATAGTGAGATTCCTAAGAAAAGGTAACATGGTTTGTCAGAATTTCTGTGGTCTGAACTTAGCTTCTGGTCTTGAGACTTTCTCCTGATGGTGTCAAAAGTAAGCTAATGTGATTTAGCTAGATCATTCACAGAGCTTCTTGGTCATTTCTAGATGCCAGGCTGACCAACTCTGCAACTATCCAGGCCCAGAACCAGGGTTATGTGTTGGCCCACCCCAAAATCCACCCCATCTGTGATCTGCTGAAACACAGGGATGGGGGTGGCCTGCAGACCCAGGGCAGCAACGGGATGTCCAGGAAGAGGTCCAGTGAGAGCCCAGACCAATGATTTCTTTGCAATGAATGCCTACATGTAAAGATGTATAGATAAAGGGGTTTTCTATGTGACTCACTGTGTCACAATGCAGTTTCCATGATGAGATTTTCCCTTCTTTTTTCTCTTAATTTTTATTTTGGTTTATTTTAGGAGATGGTTGTTGCAGGGGCAGAGGGCGGATGTGAGGACGGGAGATGCATGGGATTGGGATGCATGATGTGAAAGACACAAGAGTAAGTAAAAAGAACGTTAAGAAAGAAAAACAAAAACAAAAACAGAAACCTAATATGCAAATCTAACCTTCAGTGCTTCAGTACCCTTGCGAAGCTCCTTAATAACAGACGATAAAGCTTCCGGGTTGATTCCTTGTTCACAAAGTCGTACACAAATAGACAGCGTTTCCATATCTAAACCGGTATTCAAAATTCTTGAAATCTCAAGTAGGACTGAAAAAGATACAGACACAATTTTTAAAAAGCATGTTTTAACACTTAAAACAAACAAACAAAACTGCACATAGCACTGTAGATGAAATTCTAAACGGTCTTAGTAAATAAGAAACACAGAGCCAAATACAGAGTTAAAGCCTAAGAGATCAGAGCAATAGCCACGACTCCCTTTAGCTTACCACTCGCTGCCGTCACTTCCCGAGAGAGACCTTCTTCTTGTGTCCTGTCTTCTTATTGCCTTTCTGTTCTGCCTTCTCAACGGCTCTAAACCCAACCATACGACTTCATCACTGCCTGTCTATACAGACCTCCATGTCTCTACGGTTGGTACTGGGATTAAAGGCATGTGTCACCATGTTTGACTGTGTCCTTGAACACACAGAGACTCTGCCTGCCATGTGATCAGATCAAGGGCATGTGCTACCACTGCCAGACTTCTGCTTAATGGCTATGACCTCTGATCTCCAGGCAACTTTATTTATTAACATACAAATAAAATCACATTTCAGCACAAATAAAATATCACCATACAGCACTTCTTTTCTCCTTAACGGAATGAACAGGTTTTATTTAGGCATATTTATGTATATACACATACATGCAATAACAATTAGTAAAAAATAGAGATCATAGATTTGAGTAGAGCAGGGGAGGGAATACGGAAGGCCATGAAAGGAAGAAAGAAGTTATAATTTCAAAAGTTAAAAAAATGAGTTAAAGAATTTGTGGGAAAGCACTTTAACATGATATCTATCACTTGAAAATTAATTCATTCACATACTCTTTAAAGAATTTTAATATTCTTCTCTCATATAATATATTCTGATGATGGTTCCCCTCCCTTTACTCCTCCCAGTACCTGCCCACCTCCCCTCCAATCTGAATCCCACTCCCTTTCCATTCTCATTAGAAAACAAGCAAGCTTCTAAGGGATAATATAATACATATAAACTAACACATCAGGGTTGGACGAAACACACAGAAGGGAAAGAGCACAAGAAAAGGCACAAGCATCAGAGACCCGCTCGTTCACACACTCAGGTATCCCATCAAAAACATAAAATGAAAGCCATGGTATATATACACAGAGGACCCGGTGTAGACCCATGCAGGCCCTGTGCATGCTGCTTCAGTCTCTGTGGGTTCATATGAGCTTTGCTCATGTTGATTTAGAGGGCCTTCCTTGTTTTCGTGCTGTCCTCCATCCCCTCTGGCTCTTAACACTCCTTCTGCCTCTTCTTCAGCAGGGTTCCCTGAGCTTGGAGGGAAGGGATTTGGAGACATCCCCTTTAGGGCTGAGTGTTCCAAGGTCTCTGACTCTCTGTGTAATGGCTGGCTGTGGGTGTCTCTATTTGTTCCCATCTGCTGCAGGAGGAAACTTCTCTGACGATGGCTGAGCAGGGCATTGATCTATCAAGGAATCAACACTTCAGGATTCAGAAACCAGCATTTGCTTCTCAGTTTATTTTTCCACATTTATCGGTTGATTGACTAATGTGGGTTCCCAAAGGCTACAGTGTACAAATAGAGGTCTGAGGGACAACTTATAGAATCAGTTCTCTCCTTCTACCATGTAGGTCCTGGAGATCAAACTCAGGTATCAGGCTTGCTAGCACGGTACCCTTACCTAGTAAACCATCTTATCTTGCAGCCCAGTGTCTTGGTTTTTGAAAACTTAAAAATAGTTGCATTTTCATGGAAATGAAACTTCTTAACCTCCAAGCTATTTTAAGAATTCAGCTGTTCTTACTTCCCCATTGATGGAATACTATGATAACTGTGATATATTTGTATATACTAAATTTTATTTCAAGACAAATTCTAAAAGAATTACTCAGTGACATATACATTTAAAGTTTTAGAACCTTTGATAATAATTTGACAGAGTAATTGCATCTGTTGACTTTATTAATAAAAGCTTGCACACTTTAACTTTACTTTTAATTTTTTATTTTATGTGCATGAGTATTTTGTCTATAGGTACATATGAGCGCCACATACTTAACTTATGGCCTTAACTTCATTTTCTACAGCACTGCATTTCATGGTAGTTCATTAAAGCATCTTTTTGACATTAAAAGCAGCAGCACTGAGAACCTAGTTTATTTAAGCGCTCTTCCGGGAATCCTTTATAGGATTCCTTATAGGACATACAAGCAACAATTCTTTTGACTTTGTTAAATGGTGGTTGATTCCAACATGTGTTAGACTTCAAGTCAACTGATAACATATTACCTGTTGTATACTTTTCCCTTGCATTATGCTTAGGATACTATTTCCCATGCAGAGCAGATTTATCATTATTTTCGTCCGGCACTTGAGAGTTGATTTCTCCCTTCCATAAACATTTAAATATTTGACTCCTTGCTGTGGGATAATGCTTTTTGTACACTGGTTTAATAAAACACTGATTGGCCAGTAGCCAGGCAGGAAATACAGGTGGGATAAGCAGACAAGGAGAATTCTGGGAAGAGGAAGGCTGAGTCAGGAGATGCCAGCCTGCCATCCAGGGAGCAGCATGTAATGACACACAGGTAAAGCCAAGGAACACGTGGCAACATATAGATGAAAAGAAATGGGCTGAGTTTAAGTGTAAGACCTAGTCAGTGGTAGGCATGGGCTAATGGCCGAGCAATTTTAATTAATATAAGCCTCTGTGTGTTTACTTGGGTCTGAGCAGCTGTGGACCAGGTGGGACACAGGAAAACTTCCAGTTACAATTCCTGGAGTTGTAGTTAGAAAAGATCCTTTTCCCAGAAATAAGCCAGTTGCCACAATGTAATTTGTTGAATGACATATCCTTTTGTCATTATACTGCAATTGCTGCCTTTACCACATAACAAGTTCTCAGATCTCTACAACCTGGTTGTGTCCTAGCCCTATCATTAATTACTAATTTTTTTTTTTTTTTTTTTTTTTGGTTTTTCAAGACAGGGTTCTCTGTGTAGCTTTGCGCCTTTCCTGGAACTCACTTGGTAGCCCAGGCTGGCCTCGAACTCACAGACATCCGCCTGGCTCTGCCTCCCGAGTGCTGGGATTAAAGGCGTGCGCCACCACCACCCGGCCCATTAATTACTAATTTTATATTGCACACAGTAGGTTAAATATTCTTTTGCCACTTTCATGTAAGAAAAAGCCTTTTTATTCTCAGGGTGAAGTCAAGTATTTTCATCAATTTCCAAAACAAATTTATTGGGCTTTCTGCTTGAACTGCATGAAGTCATGGATTATTTTGGGAAAAATGGACAAGTTAACAATACTTAGTCATGTGCTGGAGAGATGGCTCAGAGGTTAAGATGGCTGCTCTTCCAGGGGTCCTGAATTCAATTCCCAGCAACCACATGGTGGCTCACAACCATCTATAATGGGATTTAATGCCCTCTTCTGGCATAAAGGCATACATGCAGATAGAGCACTTGTATACATAAAATAAATAAACAATACTTAGTCACTAATTTAATTCAGCTTTAAGTACTGAAAACTGTCACAGTATTCATACTAACATGAAACTTTTCGCACTATTATTTATTTTCATGTCTCATAGTTCAATGTGGATCTTAAAAGTATACTTTCCATGTCAGTATTAAAGTTTTTGAAGCCAGGCAGTGGTGGCACACACCTTTAATCTCAGCACTCGGGAGGCAGAGGCAGGCGGATCTCTGTGAGTTTGAGGCCAGCCTGGACTACAAAGTGAGCTCCAGGAAAGGTGCAAAGCTACACAGAGAAACCCTGTCTTGAAAAATAAAAAAAATTAAAAAAAAATAGTTTTTGAATATGGAGTACAGTTCTGAATCTCCAGTTTAAATTCTAATGCCTATAGGGTTTTTTCTTTCTTTCTGCTAATGGTTTGAATTTTTCTCATCATAACTCATATTTTCTTGTTTTATATACCCAGTAGTAGCCAGATATTGTAAAATTTACCTTGTTGATACTGGACATATTTATCTTCCTATAAATATTCTTGAGTTTACAGTAAATATAGTTACCTGGAAACCAATCCTTTCAGGTCTGAATCCTCAGATCAGTTGTAGTGAACAGCTGATTATGCTAAGGTAAGTCCCTTTCAAGTATTCCATGACTGTTTCACAAATTGTGTTTTCCATTTTGGCTTATAGGATGGCACTGTCCTTAGCTCTGTGGGAGCATCGTGTTGTGGTCCTCTAATATTTTGGGTGTTTTGTTCCCAGTTTTCTGGGAGTGAATGTGTTAACTAGCCAATGCTCTTTGATCTATGCTACTGACCTCCAGAATTCCCTCTGCAGCTCTCTCAAGTATCCTCTCTCTCTTCCTTTCAGTTTGTGTTAACTCTTCCTGCATTGCTCTCCTCCATCTTCCAAACTCCTTAGCTCAACCCAATTGTCCACCGGGTCCCCCTGGTATGTCTGTGCAATGAGACCTGTGAAGATAATGACTTGGGGTGACAGAACTACATTTCGTGTATTTCCTGTCTCTTAATCACAATCTTAGCCAGGCAGTGGTGGCATATGCCTTTAATCCCAGCACTCGGGAGGCAGAGCCAGCTGTTCGAGGCCAGCCTGATCTACAGAGCAAGATCCAGGACAGGGACCAAAACTACAGAGAAACCCTATCTCAAAAAAAAAAAAAAAAAAAAATCACAATCTTCAGATGACTAATATTCAGTCTCTTGCAAATCTCTGTATGTTTTACATGGGTTTTTGTTTTGTCTAAGTAGGAGTGTATGCTCAGCATGTTACTCCATTTTGGCGAGAAGTACTCATTTTCATTTTTTCAGGGTTGATAGTTCAATTTCTAATATTTTGCTCTTTTACTCATGTTACCTGATGACTTCAGCAACTGTACTTTGACTTTAATTTCCTCCACAATCATTTGTTCTTGTTTTCTGACTGAATGCTTATTTATAATGAGTTCCTATTCTTGTCTATTGTTCCTGCCTTCACATAATTTAGGTTCTATTTTCCAGTGTTCTTGTTTATTGGAGATTGCTCTGTGACTTCTGAAGTATAGCAAACAGTCAGGAGTGTACTCTCTGGAGCCAGACCACCTGAGTTCAAATTCTAGTTCTATTACTATAATGAGTTAATCTCACCTTGCTTTTACTTTACCATTCTATAAACAACAGGCACCAGTACTTATTTTATAGGGTTAGTATAAGTATTAAGGCTACATTTAGAATGGTGCCTAACACATAGTAGGACTCAGTAAGAGCTTAGCTATTACCTATTATGGCTTTCTCTTTTTTCATCTACCCAAGGTACTTTTTGACTTTTGGATGAGAATTCATCTCCTATGGAAAGCTTGTCCTGCTCACAAGCTCTGTGATACTCCTCTTACCCTGGCCTCAAGCTCTCTGGACAAAGCTTTATAGAAGCTTCTTGGCTCAAGACTCAGAGAACACATGGATAATGCTTCTTCATCTCCACGATGGCAGATGGTGCATTTCTGCCTGGCTCTATCCTCAAAACTCTGCTGCGGTTCCCTTCTGCTGTCTTATGAGGTAAAATCTTTGTTTTTCATCAATGAAGACTTCCTTTTCTTGTTTTTGTGTATGATTGTATTTAATAATTATACTTCAACATTACTTCCTAATTTTTATATCCCTAAGTACATGGAATTTCTTTACTTTAACTCTGATTGTCTACTTAACCTTGGAGATTCCAAGGTTACTTTTGATACATTGAGATAAGGAGACATATAAATGCAGTAAGGCCCTATTAAAGAATTCAGAAGTTAGCTGGGCGGGTAGTGCACACCTTTAATCCAGCACTCAGGCTAGAAGCGGGCAGATCTCTGTGAGTTCAAGGCCAGCCTGTTTGAGTTCCAGGACAGCCAGGACTGTTAATATAGAGAAACCTTGTCTCAGAAAACAAACAAATGAACAAAAATTCCTCACAAGTTTGAGAAGCTATTGGCAGATATAAAATTGGAGTTTGTATTTGAGAGATTTTGGTATCTGGTCAACTTGGTCTCCCCACCCTGCTCCCTTATACACAATGTGCTCTTTTCCTAGGAGATAATGCAGCGAGAAGGCACTCTTGCCAGGATAGCTAGCGTTCAGAACTACAAACATTACATCCCTGTTCTCTAGATCAGGCAGACTCAGGTAATCTGTTATGGCAAGATAAAACAAAGACTGGTTCCCACTCTATGTAAAGTAAAAGAACAGTATTACAAGGTACTCAACCGATTTTGAAGACAGTATTTCAGAAAGACTTGCCTGAAGAAGTAACAACCTGAGACTTCAAGTGTGAGAAGAACATGAGGCAGGAGGAGGTGTGATGGTCCTAGACTGGAGGGAACTTTATCAATTCACTGATGCTAAGAGCCAGTGTCAAGGCAATGTTAGGAAGGGACAAACGAGCAGAAAACAGGAGACATGTAAACCCAGTAAGGCCTACTAAAGAATTCAGAAGTTTGAGATGCTATTGGTAGATACAAAATAGGAATTTGTATTTGAGTTTTTAAATATGGGTTTGATTTTTGAATAGGTCATGTATGATATGGAACCAATCTATATTGCTGTAATTTTGGTAAAAGACTGGTAAATGGGATAGCCTGAAAAAAAAAATAGTCAAGTTGTCAAACATCAAATTAGTGATGTATTTTAATGCCTTTGTGAATGAAGAATAGGAGGCAGGAGAGACACAAGAAAATCAGGGTGACTCCAGGATTCCTTCTCAAAATGGGCAACAAGACAGATGGCATCGGTGTCATGAATAGTTTGATGGCGCCCAACACCTTTCTTTAGTAAGCTTTTGGAAGCTTACTACCTGATATATAAAGTTGCATCTCCATTGAAGCCTCTGGAAAGAAAGATCACCAAAACTACAATTACCAGTAGTAAAATGAAAATGTAAGGAGTTATACTGAAAAGGAAGGAAAGGGTAGTTGAAAGGTCTAGCGATTTTAAGAGGAAATGTTGGAAGTAAATGCTGAGCATGTAACAGGGATGTGAGTATCTTATCCCACAGCTCTTACACTATGTCAGGGTTGGGGTAAATCAGGTTCCTTTCAGAGTATGCAGACAAACTACAAAGCCCACTTGCATAATCTAGCTTTAACAAAGTCTACTCAATTAACGACTGTAATGAAAACTTCACAGGTTGAGTCCTGCTACCTTGGCAAACCAGACATCAAAAGCTTAAATCATTGTTAGGTAACAGAAAGGAGGGAGAAGATAAGGAGAAATAGATAGATTAGATCTTGAAGAAAAAGGCTCCAAAATGCTTGAAAATTTCATTTTGACTCTCATACATTGATTTAAATGAATAAAATATCACACATACTCTCCCTCCATTGAAAACAAAAACACCTCTGGTCTTTACTTTTATGTGTTCTTATATTCTGTAATTTTTATTTTATATCAAGTTCTCTCAGAAAAGATGGTGATGATATAACCAATGCAAAAGCTTAGTTCTCACAGCTAGTCCCACCAAAGAGTCTTCCTTTCAGAGAAAACTGGTTGGAAAAAAGGCCTTATCTTCAGATATTATTCAAAATACACACTGATGCAAGGGGTGTGCACTAGAGACCCAGCATTCCGAGGACATTCCAGAGGCAGAAAGAGAAGGATCAGGCATTTGAGGTCACTCTAGACTACACAGCAAGATCCTGTCTCAGAACACATTCCCAAACCCACAATGGCACCCACAGCAAGACAGTAATGTTACACAGATAAACTCCTTGGGTCTATAAATTCACTTTATAAAACAGTAAGCTGTGGAACACATAGGATGTGTTGGATATGGTATTTATAACAGAATTTTCAAAAAAGGAGCAATGTTAACAAACACCAACTAGGTGAAAAAAATAAATGTAAAGCTTCTAACAGTTTCATTCTTTAAAAATGAAAGCCCTGACCAGTGCCGGGCATTCTAAGAATGTATCAGAAGGGGCAAGATAAGATGGCCAGCATTTAGTGAAGGAAACACAAGGCAGTAGGGTTGACATCACCTGGTGACAACAGGGTTATCTTTTTTGGTTGTTTTTTGGAGACAGGGTTTCTCTGTGTAGCTTTGTTGCCTGTCCTGGATCTAGCTCTGTAGACCAGGCTGGCCTCAAACTCAACAGAGATCCACCTGGCTCTGCCTCTCCTGAGTGCTGGGACTAAAGGCGTGCACCACCACCGCCCGGCTCAATAGGGTTATCTTTTAAGAAAGATGCTGAGGGGGTAACCCCTGGAAACCACCAAGGCCACTGCCAATACTGACATATCACACCCCATGTGCGTGGAAACGACTAAAATGAAGGCGAAGATACTTGCAAACGGGATGTCAGCTAATGGAAAAAGAAACAAACAAACAACAACAACAAACCCTGATCATTTCTGATACACACTTTACCTGGTTGTCTAATTTTAAAGGCCCACAATAGCCCTCGGAGCTACAGCTTCATTTCACAAAGAAGATCAACTACGGTCTATAAAGCAAAGTGTGGGGTCCAAGAGGCACGAAGCTGCGGAACCAGGGCGCAGAGAAGGCAACTTATCTTTGGGCACGTGTGTGCGGACACACCCACAGCAGCGGCCACCCGTGTCACCCGGTCACCCGGTCTACGAGACACGACTGGGAAAGGATGCCGGGAAGATGTGCGGGACACCAACAAACAGCTCCCGACTGAAACGCCCGGGCCCAGGGACTGAGCGATGATTGAGGGTCCACGACTCCTTTCGCCGGGCAGGGGGGACACTTCAGTCGCCAGCCTCCCAAGCGCATGCCTGGGGGGGGGGGGGGGACAGGGGCGGGTCGCGTGGCCCCGGGCTGGGCGCGCAACGGGCCGCCGCGAGGCCAGAACGCCGGCGCGCGCGCGCGCCAAACTACGCCTCCGCGGAGGGGCCAGAGCTCCCGGGGAAGGGGCCGCCAGCTCCGAGGTCGCCGCGGGTCCCCTTCCCCGACCCCTCCGTAGCAGGACGGCGCTGGGGTCGCCGCGGGGAACCGCCGGGTCCGTCCCTCCCTCCTGACGCCTCCATCTGGGGGGGAGGGGGCTCGGCACCGGGAAGGCGCAGGCCGGGCGAAAGCGAGCGCCCAGCGGACTCACCGTCCATGGTCTCCCGCACGGCGTTGAGGTTGGTCGAGGCCGCCGCGCCCGCGCCGCCGCCGCCGCTAGCCATGGAGAAGAAGAGCAAGCCCAGGCCGGTGGGAGAGGGCCGGACCCGGAAACGGAGCGCCCGCCTCTCGGCCCCGCACTCCCACCGCGCGGCCGCGCTCACGCCGGCCGAGCCCCGCCCACGCCGGCCGGGCCCCGCCCACGCCGGCCAGGCCCCGCCCACGCCGGCCAGGCCCCGCCCCCTGGCGCAGGGCGCCGACGCCGGGCGGCGTTGATTTGAATTTGGAGCCCTCGTTCCCCAGCGCGGAACTTAGAGCGAGGAGTTGGCGTTCGAATTCGCCCCGCCGCCTCGACGCCATTGGCTGGTTCGCGGACGGCGGCGGCACGCCATTGGCCCGTCGCCTCGCCCCGCCCCGTGCCCTGGTTGGCCGGAGACAGCGCGGAGGGAGTTAAAGAGTCGGCGCCTGCGGGTGGGCTCAGCAGGGCAAGCTCGAACTCCGTCGTCGCCCGCCGGTGTAGCTGCGTCCTCCGTGGCCCCAGGCCTTGACCTCCCCCTGGACCTGGGCACCCCTGGTCTCCTGGCTCCCGACGTGCCTGTGCGCTCGCCTAGAGGTGAAGAAGGGGAGCAGGGACAGGGGGCACCTGGAAACTGAGTGGTCGCTGGAAGTGACGTCTCTGCTGTTCGCTGGGGGAGCCGGCTCAACTTGGATCTTTCAGAAGTAAATTCTGTTTTCTTTCTTTTTCCTCTGGCTATAACCCTCTTTGGAAGGAATGCATTGTGGTTTCGTAACCTGCAGGGGGTGGAGGTCTTCGGGAAAACCAGTTAAATCCCCACCTGGACCCTGTCAATCACCCTGCTCTAGTGAGGGCTAACGTGCGTGCCAGGAGTAATTGCAGTTCTGTGTAGAATTACTGGGCTATCCAGAGGATGTTCATACTATTTAATCTTCAGATCACGAATAAAGAAAACTACAAATAGAATCCGTTTGGTTGGAAAGGTACTACTTGTGCTTAGTGTAATTTACTTACCTCTAATTGGGCCAGAATTCTTAGTTGACTGCTGTGTAAGTAACTTCGCTGCATGTGTTCCCTCCTCTGAAAAATGATAGCACTAATGTTTTACCTCTCCAGCTTACAAGGTTAGTTTCAGGATCATCTAAGGAAACGTACAGGATGCTCTCTTGTAAACTATAAAATAACCCCAAAAGGAGTAGGTTTGGAGTCAACTCTTTGTGAAATGTTAGATATATTTTGTCAGGATTAATATCTATGATACTCAATAATTTTAATATGTATACTTCTGATGATTTCTTTTTTAGTTTGCTTCCTGGGCTATGGGAGATGTAAGCGAATTAAAAATGCAAATAACACCGGAAACTCCAGGAAGGATCCCCATTTTAAATCCCTTTGAAAGTCCTAGTGATTATTCTAATCTCCATGAACAAACCCTTGCCAGTCCTTCTGTCTTTAAATCCACAAAACTACCAGTAAGTTTTTCTCACCTAATGTTTACAAGGGATTTTAAATGGAAGTAATTGCAAATGACTTTAAATGTAAATGTCTTACAGAAGAAACTATGTCACCTAATTTTCTAATAGTTCTTTCAACAAACATGATGTGAATGCTTTTATTCCTCAGAGTGGACGAGTTAGGAGCACCTGGTGCAAACTCTCCAGGAACTTCCACACCAACACAGAAGCAACTAACTTTTTACTCAGGAACCAGACAGGCTTTGCGAGTCACCTGGTCCCAGTTGAACTGCTCACATGGACCTCAGATCAAAAGACCCAGCCAAGGACAATTTGGGGACAAATATGGCCATGTTCTAATAAGAGATTATAGACACTGAAATTTGAAATCATGCTATTTTTCTGTCATGAATTATTGAGATCCCTATTTCCTTTTTCCCAGCCATTTAAAAACACCGAGCACGCCTTTAATCCCAGCACTTGGGAGGCAGAGGCAGGCGGATCTCTGTGAGTTCGAGGCAGAGCTCTGTGAGTTTGAGGCCAGCCTGGGCTACAGAGTGAGTTCCAGGAAAGACTTAAGAGCTACACAGAGAAACCCTGCCTTGAAAAACAAAACAAAACAAAAACAAAAACAAAACACCACCGAGCCCTACTAAAGCCTGCAGATTGTTATAAAAGGGAGTCGACTTCTGTGCTATCAGAGTAAATTTGACAAAATGAGCAATTTCAAAATCATGAAATACATACTCTGATTACTATGGTTCAGAAAGATGGTGCAGAAGAAAATGTGCTCTTTAGGAAATTAGAGAAGGCTTCATCACTTTAGCTGTTTTTACTGTTACTTGCTAAACTGGCAAATTTCTTTTAATTCGCTAGCCACACTTACCTAGAAAAACTGTAAGACTAGGTGTCCTGGCTACTTTTATTTCAGCTCGACACAATCTGCAGTTTCAGAGAGCCTCAGCTGAGAAAATGCCTCCATAAGATTGGGCAGCAGCCAAACCAGTTGGACATTTTTTTTTTTTTCTTTTCGAGACAGAGTTTCTCTGTGTTGTTTTGGTTCCTGTCCTGGATCTCACTCTGTAGACCAGGTTGGCCTCAAACTCACAGAAATCCGCCTGGCTCTGCCTCCCAAGTGCTAGGATCAAAGGCGTGCGCGCACCACTGCCCAGTCTGTTCGACATTTTTTAAATTAATAATTGATATGGGAGGGAGGGCCCAGTCCATTGTGGGTGGTTCCATCCCTGGGTTAGTGGTCTTGGGTTCTCTAAGAAAACAGACTTAGCAAGCCAGTAAGCAGCAGCCCTCCATGTCTTCTTCATCAGCTCCTGCTTCCAGGTTTCTGCTCTGTTTCAGTTCCTGTCCTGACTTCCTTTGAGAGTGAACAGTGATGTGGAAGTGTAAGCTGAATAAACGATTTCCTCCCCCACTAACTTTTGGTCATGGTGTTTCATCATAGCAATAGTAACCCTAACTAAGACACCAGGTGACTGTTTCTGCTGCATTTTATGTCAGCTTGGACAGTGAGAAGGTGTGCAGGAGCCATATACAGTTCACATGGTGTCGTACCATTAATTTGGCCTCCCAACATTAATTGATTTATGATAAAATTTAGCTATTTTTAGTCTTAATCAAAAGTGAAAATGGAGGCTGAGAAGATAGCTCAGTTGGTAGCATGCATGCCATTTGCCATTCAAGCACCAGGACACAAGTTGGATCCCTGGAATCTATGTAAAAATGCCACTAGTGATGACTATTTCTAGTCCTACTGTAGGGGAAGTAAGTACAGGCAGATCCTTGGGGCTTACTGCCTAGCCAGCCTAAATTGTTAAGTTGATATCCCAAGGTCAATGACAGACCCTGTCTCAAAAGCCGAGAGGGATAATGCCCCAGATTGACCTCAGCCTCCTTGTGCAAGTGTTGTACATGTGCACTCACACACACTTGTACCCACACAAACATGGATGTGGATATATACACAATAGTAAAATAATGATTTCAATGCAGTTTTTTGTTTGTTTGTTTTTTGGTATTTTGGTTTTTCGAGACAAAGTTTCTCTGTAACAGCCTTGGCTGTCCTAGAACTACCTCTGTAGACCAGGCTGGCCTCGAACTCACAGAGATTCGCCTGCCTCTGCCTCCCAAGTGCTGGAATTAAAGGCGTGCACCATCACTGCCCAGCATCAATTAAGTTGTAATTGAGCTTCAAAGCCAGAAAATATAGCATCCTCTCCCCCAATATATTTGTAATTACAGTTTCTAATTTGAGTAAGTTTAGGATCAGTTGGATAGTTAAATATGGGAGAAGCCCTGGATGCCATTCTTAAATATTTTGAGGATCAGTTATTTCATGAACTGTTGGAGCTTCTGGTATAGCTAAGACTTGTAGTTCATTCATAGTGACAATAAAGGCTTTCAACCTTTGATAATTAAAGTTTTTGTTTACTTATGGACATAGTTTCTCCCTCATGAGTGCTAATTGTGGTATTTCTATACCTTTGTTACCCTGATTCCTAAAATATTGTGCCATTTTTTTAAGTTACTCAGAAGATTTTGATATTTTTAAGGGATAACGTGCAACAGATTGACTTTAGTGTGATTTGGTTACCATTTGCCATTTAATTTAGAGTGATTAAACTCAGATTTGAAAATAGAAGCTTTAAAAGATTTTTAAGTTACAGCCATCTACAGTTTTGAAGGTAGCATTGGGTAGAATTTTGATGAACTATTTTAATTTGTTTTAACATATATGTTTACTTTTATTAGACTCCAGGGGAATTTAGGTGGTCGATCGATCAGCTGGCTATAATAAATCCTGTAGAAATAGCCCCAGAGGAGATTCATCGTCAGGCCTCCTACCTAAGTCGTTCTCGGTAAGTGTTTCTTTCTTGTACTCAAGTGTAATAACAGACTATTAAGTAAAGAGTAAGAACTTCTAAAAGCTGATTATTCATATATGTAAATATGTCAAGAAAGAAAACAATTAATGTGGATTTTTTTCTTTTCCAAGTGAGTGAATTTAAAGAATTATGCCTAGAAAGATATTCCAATCTGAATAGGAATCCTTTTCTTGTACAGCTAACACACACACATACACATAGCCCCATCCCCCCCCCACTCCCCACCTCCACCCCTACCCCCTCCCCCGAATATAAACACTGCCTCCCCAGCACTTGGTTAGATGGAAAAGCACTTTAACCTTGTATGTTTCTCTGTAGTGTGGCTTCTGAGGTATTTGGTTGGTGTCTCAGGATAACAAAAGATTCTGTTCAGTTGCCTGTCTGGAGAAGTCTAAAATCTCCTAACAAGTTAAGACTCACCTAATGCCATAGCATTTATTGTCAACAGAGAGCTTTATAGGCATCATTCAGTTTTAACACAGTTCATCAAGGAATCTTAATTCTTTTTTGAAAAAAAAAAATATTATTTATTTATTGCAATGCCTGTGTGTGTGAGTGTGCACATGCCATGGTGTCAGTGTGGAGGTCAGAGGGCAGTTTTTGGGAGTTGATCTCTCATTCCACCTTGGAGTCCAGAGGTGGATTTCAGGTGGTGAGATGTACTATGACAAGTGCTTTTACCCACGGAGCTGTCTGGTGGGCCTGTAGATTCTGTGTCCTTTGATTCTTCATGTCACCAGCATAGTCCACGCTTCTCTTGGGTAAACACTAGTTGGTTTGTGCTCTTCGTGATGCTCAGTGTAGTGGTGAC